CAGGCACTTGGTCTACCACCGGACGGAAACTCATCATTATTTCTAGCAAACGATGCGCCGAGGCGGTTCGTGCGTTTATTAGCATTTGTAGCGGCGCTCATAAATATTTCATCAGCACGACCGCTAAATGCTGGATACCACACTAAACCGTGTAACATTCGATGTGAGTCGAATCTGATCTTCTACTATCAACACGAATATTCCTATTGTTCATACCAACTCGGACTCGGTGCAAAGATTTGTTTGTAACTAACATTACGTGGTCATTGGCCATGGCGAGTTTGATATTTCTTTCACCATAAATTCTGCGAAAATATACAAAAGTGCGTGGGTTCCATACGATCCCAGTGTTCCAGATAGCTCCTAAAAATCATCAAGGTTTCTGAGGATTTATTTGATAATTTGGTGCCTCAAGCTTCTTCGTTGGACACGCTAGCAAAAAATGAGTTTCACGAATTCCTTCCTGCGGCACAGCAGCTGCAGGATGGGCCACCCCGACCACCTGGCATCGACCAATATGGTTGCGGACTTTTGTCGGTGCGTTGGTTATTTAGACAAAATCGTGTTCTCTGCTTTGTGGTTCCGATGTGAAATAAAAATAAAGACCATAACATCCCGTTTTTCGAAATTAATCCGTTCAGGAATCGCGTGTGGCCAGCTTCGGAGTTGTAAAGTCAAATAGGTTATCCGAGCAGCGGTTATTTTTGAGTTGTTGTGTTTCCGCTATTTATTGGCATTTCACAAACAACCAGGTCCCCGCCGCAAGCTGCGCGATTATTCGCAAATCGGTGGCGAATTGATTTTTCGTTTCTAAAATTGAACCCGGTCTACGTGATTTCATTCAGAAACAAAATATAAATAGAGAATATACCCGTTTCGAAGTCGTCCAGTATTGCTGTTGGTACGAGGAATAAGATTAAAATTATGCCATACTTTGCGATAACCGGTATACTTATATACAGGGTGTTTCAGTTTATTGTTGCATAACTTTAAGATTCGATAGAACTTTTAAAATTAATGCATAAAGTCTATATAAACATGGGTCGAAAAATGCATGGCTTCCGAAATACAGGGTGTTTAAATTTACTTTTTAAAATAGTTTTTTTTAAATATTTAGAACAATATTTGATGTATAACAGTGAAAATTGGTATACAAGGGTTTTTTGGTACGACAAAATGAACCATGGGCATAGTTTTTCTGTAGCCGCTAGAGGGCGCTCTCTACTGTACCTGTAGTGAATTAAAATGACCAAAAAATTTTTCTTAGTGCAATTTTTTGGTTTTTGAATAAAAAAACTTTTCAACATAAAAAAGCTCTCCTGTGAGTTTTCGTTATAGTTAGCCGTTTTTGAGATATTTCGATTTTTAAGGTTCGATGCATTTTTAATTTAAATCTAAAGTAGTTGCTCGAAATGTAAACCCAATTGCTCAATACACAATTCACATCTACGAATGATCGAACGTGGTATAGCACTATTCAAATAAGGCCTTATTTCATCACATGCATTCCTGATTCTGTCTATTAGCATATCTCTTGTGGTTACGGGAGTCTGGTACACTTTTTCTTTTAGAAATCCCCACACAAAGAAATCTAATGGATTTAGGTCAGGGCATCGTGGAGGCCAGGCGACTGGTCCTCCACGGCCGATCCATCTTTCTGGATAATTTTCGTCCAGCCACTTTCTAACTATTCTCGAATAATGAGCTGGACAACCATCAAGCTGGAACCAGGCCAATCTTCTTAAATCTAACATAACGTCATCCCACATATTTGCATGTTCAGCCTTTAAAAATTCCAAGAAGGTCGTAGCATTTAACCTTGCAGGCACAAGGTCCAAATAGTCGATTACGGTAGATACCAATTCCCACGTTCACACTAAATTCATGCTGAAAATTTCTTTCTTTGGAAATGAATATCCGCTAACTCTTGATTGGAGAATAACAATTTTTATAAAACTTACAAAAAAAACAGGTAAAAGAAACTAAATTTCGTGCATTCACAATTGCAAAAAAACATTTCAGGTTTCAACAGACAACAAAACTAACTGTCAACTAATTGACGTTTAACCTTATTCTGCTTTCAATTTCAAAAATATTTGCAGGCACAGCCTACTTCTAAAAATTATCGAGATCCTGACTTTTTAACGTTATTTTATCATAGATAGTTAAAAATGCATCGAACCTTAAAAATCGAAATATCTCAAAAACGGCTAACTATAACGAAAATTCACAAGAGAGCTTTTTTATGTTGAAAAGTGCGAAGTTTCAGTTTTTCACTACAGGTACAGTAGAGAGCGCCCTCTAGCGGCTACAGAAAAACTATGCCCATGGTTCGTTTTGTCGTACCAAAAAACCCTTGTATACCAATTTTCACTGTTATACATCAAATATTGTTCGAAATATTTAAAAAAAACTATTTTAGAAAGTAAATTTAAACACCGTGTATTTCGGAAGCCACGCATTTTTCGACCCATGTTTATACAGGCTTTATGCATTAATTTTAAAAGTTCTATCGAATCTTAAAGTTATGCAACAATAAACTGAAACACCCTGTATATAAAAAATGGTGGCAAGGAGGTAGTCGGTGTCATCAGTTCATAAATGGATCAAGTCAGCCAAACTGGCCCATATTCAACTAGTATATACTATACTGATGCTAGTTTCTTGATTGCCCTGAAAGTGTTGACCATCTGGCAACGCTGCTGGACCACTCCTGTCAAATACGTCATAAACACTCCTCGAAACTATGACTAATAAAGTTCAGCGACTGGGTTGTTACCTTTGACGTGTGAAATATGTGTGGATGTGTAAAATTAATAGGGTTGAAAACATATATCCTGACACCAAAAAATGAGATGTGCCTTCGTGGTTTTGTCACTAGCTGCGCCGCCATTGAGCGATTTTCAAAAACTATAAAGCTTTTCCGTCCTTGGGAAAGTAGTAAACTTGTGTGAAAATTTCATTGCTTGGAAAATATATATAAAGGAAGTTCGATTATTGTTCTAAGTTTATTCAAAAATGTATAGGGCATATTTGAAAAGGTGAAAATAAATACATAACATGAGCTACATAGATAATAGTCCCAGGGATTCCTGATCCTGAGTCCCGAGATTTTCCGATATTATTTGAAATGGACTGTAAAAACCTACTTATCTCGGATTTTCGGTCTCTTTACAGGGTCCAATAAATTGAACAATTTTTTAACCTTGAAGAAGTTGGGGCGTGTAAACATAAAAATTGTTACCAATTTCTTTACAAAAATAAATTCACGAATAAACTGCCAGATTGGAGCTTGTTTTAATTTTCTGTCAATTTTTTGGGGAATTCTAGCTGCTTTTGGTTCTTTTTCCTAGATACCAACCTTCGTTGTTTAACGCGTTCACGGATTTGAGATTAAAATTATGTTTGGCTTGGTGCTACGTCAGTTTTTTTCACAATTTATTTGAATCTGTAAAGCGGCCTTAAATTATGAATTTTATATCATTAGTCCGCGCCGCTTGAATCTGCCGGTACCTGTTTGTCCATAAAACTTGATTTTTAATAATGATACATAATCGTGAAATAGATTACAGCAGGTGATTGATTAAATACAAATACATATTTAATTACAGAGAATTGCGGCTACATTTTCCTAGGAAACCTTGACGTAATCTATTTTACTTTTATTTATCATTCATAAGGATCATGTTTTATCAGATCAGATTCGAACGGTGGGATCTTAGACTATATACTACTATACTACTATTTTAACTTGATTTCAACACCAAAACAAAATATAACCCGAAAGTTCCGAGAATCCATGGCCTACCGGTACCTTTGACAGGTAACCCCGAAATTTCCGATTCATTTCATCCCCGAAAATGTAGTTTTTATACCCATTCTCCTAAGCTGCTCTTTTTGTACCAAAGCTTTGTTATGCTCCTCCCTGTACAAAATAAGCATAAAATCTTTATGGGTTTATAAACACAAGCAAGACAATACCCGTCTAAGAACATTCTTCACAAAACGTCTTAAGCATAAATTACTTCCATCTAGTTATCCTTGAATATTAAACAATTCCTTTTTGTCTGTCTCGTTCACATTTTTTGGCAAAACATTCACTTTTAGCAACGAAAATTCGAATATATCAGCCGCACTTAACGCTCAGGCTTCAAAAATTCAAATATGCAACAGAAAAATACACCGATAAATCATTAAAAACATCCGAAGTTCAAGAATGTAACAAAAGAATCAATAAAAATCGAATCACCATTCTGGCAAGCCATGACATAAAGTCCCATTGAAAACCAACCTGTTGTCGAATAGTGACCCCAAACAGGTAGAATTCTTACCAGATATCCCATCAAATCTGAAATCACAGTAGTAACACTCAAAGTCACTGTACCACCACAAAGTTCGCTATCCACCGCACTAGACGTCTGCTAAACTTCGGAAAGAGCGTAATCCAAACCAGCGCAAGCTTCTTTCCAGTTTTATTTCTGTTTTAACGACAGTTGAAGCGCCTGTTAAGGCCGAAAGCACACCGCGAACCGGACGAAGAGCTTTGGGACGTAAGCGCTGCCCGACGAACGCGCCTGAAACGCTGAAAACCTGAAAGCGGTTTCAGGGATTATGTATTTGAAATGTTGATCTCAAACAGGTTCACGTGCGTTTGCTTCCGCTTTTTATACTGCTGGCGCCATCTAGTAGCAGCTATATGAAACGAGGTCTCAGTCGGTAAAGTTCTCTACGTTATCGATCATATTCCGTAGTTGCCAGGTGTAGCATGAAAATACCGAGATCTGCTGAATTGCAAATGACAAGAAATATTTGAGCATTGCATCATGTTTTCTCAGGTACGTACACCTGGACATCAAATCGATTTCGATTTTAGTTGCGTTGTTACCTAGCACCCTCGTCTTGAATGCGCAACACGAGGGATGTCTTTTACGTTTTGCATATAGAAACATAGTAGGTCGCGCGGATCGAACGTCAGTACTGAAGCTTAAGTCATTAGAAAAATGGAACTCAACCCAGAACATTTTCGCGCCATAATTTATTACAACTTTCAGAGACAATTATCTCAACAAGAATGCCTTGCTGAGTTACTGTCTGTTTTCGGCAACGAAGCGCCACATCAGTCGACAATTTCCGTTGGTATGGAGAATTCAAACGTAGATGGGCGAGTCTTAGCGACGATAACAGGGTGGGTGCACCAAAAACGCCAGTCACCCAGGAAAACGTCGATTCTATGCGCAAACTCATCATTGAAGATAGACATGTGACATATCGCGAGATTGAGGCGTCCTTGAAGATCTCAAAGACCTCAATTCAAAAAAAAAATACATGAAGAATTAGGAGTAAGAAAACTAGTTTCTCGTAGGATACCCCACCTGTTGACTGAAGAGCAGAAAGCAGCCAGGGTTAATTGGTGTCAAAAAACGCTTGATCGTTTCAATTCCGGAAACTCAAAAAATGTGTACAGCATTGTTAGTGCTGATGAATCGTGGATTTACTGTTATGAACCAGAAAATAAACGACATTCGGCTGTTTGGGTGTTCCAAGGTAAATAAAAGCCAACAAAAGTCATCCGTTCTCGAAGTGTTTCGAAAAAGATGGTCGCGCCATTTGTGTCAAAAGCGGGTCATATTGCAACAATTCCTCCTAATGAGCAAAGAACTGTTACTGCGGATTGGTATACCACCATTTGTTTGCCAAACGTCATCACCGAGCTTCGAAAAATCAACCCCGAAAAAAGAATCATCCTTCACCAAGACAATGCAAGCTCGCACACAGCCCAAAAAACAAGGCAGTCTTTAACGGAAGAAAACGTGGAATTATTGGACCATCCTCCATATAATCCCGATCTAAGTCCTAACGATTTCTTTACTTCTCCGAAAATTAAAATAGACTGCGTGGTCAAAGGTTAAAGTCGCCAGAAGAAGCAGTTGGCGCATTCAAAAATGCCTTTTCGGATCTGCCAGCAAACGAGTGGAATAAGTGCTTCGAAAATTGGTTCGAGCGCATGCAGATGTGTATCAATCTTCGTGGAGAATACTTCGAAAAACAATAAAGTCATTTAAAACTAGCTACCGTGTTGTTTCATTTCCATATGCAAAACTTAAAAGACATCCCTCCTATATACTATTTCTATCCATAAAAATCTTGACTGAATGAAAGTTGTATAAGGTGTTAGTCACACATAAAATCCAGCCAGACCAATCAAATTATAATCAATTTATAAAAAGATCTTCAAACCAATATTTAATCCGTCCAACGAATTGGAATAGAAGCTTATATGTTTAAATTGCATTGGTTGTCGCCAAAATTGTCTAGTTTTAGTGTGTACTTTACTTTTACTACACTTTGACTTTTGGCTATTTTGCCTGCCAAAGTGCATCGGCGTACATTTTTCTTCTGGAGAGGATACTCAGGGATAAATTAAATAAGCCAAAGGTGAATTAAAGTTTTAATAAAAGCCTTCCTGCTTTTAAATTAACACAATCTGGCAACCCTGGTTTTTCATTTCCGCACCAGTGGCGTGCGCTGAAAAGTCAATGTGGCATGTAATTTTCTATTTTTCGTAGCTGTCTACCGATTTAGATCTAGCTGTACCCCGGCTTTTATGCGTTTTTAACGTTACCTTACTTGTACAAATTTTTCTGAATGCGTAAAATATTAGAAATCGTCTTAAGCTACCCCGTGTCCGCTACGCCCGTGTTTCTGACTTTGATGATGGACATACTTCTGAGGTTAGATTCTCAACACCCTCATGTCACCTTATGGTAAATACTTGATAAATAGTGATATGATAAGATAAAAATAGTATAATTCGCAAAGATGGTGGACAGTAAACCGACAGAAACTTCGGAGAAAAGCGAGAGCAAGAAAGCTCAAAAGAAGGAGGCAAAAAAAGCTGAAAAAGCGGCGAAGAAAGCTGAGCACAAGGCACAGACTCAAAATGAAACTTTAGCCCCCGAAGAAGGTATGTTTTAAAATTATATTGCAAGATGAAGTACCTATTATTTTTATCTTGAAGGTGATGTTTCTGTTGGAAAGTATGGCAAACTGCAACTGCAATTTGCTGTGCAGAAAAAGTTCACCTACGTTAAGGATCTGGATAAGTCTGTTTCCGGACAGGTAGTTTGGGTAAGGGCTAGGCTGCATACTGTCCGTGCTCGAGGAAAACAATGCTTTATTGTTCTAAGGCAGAGAGAATATACTGTTCAAGTATTGGTGAATGTTTCCGAAACCGTATCAAAGTCTATGGTCAAGTTTGCTAGCAAGTGAGTATTTTTAGAAATAATGGGGCCTGCTGCTACTACTACTTCACAATTTGACTCATAACTATTTCCATTCAGTGATTCATCAGGTTAAGGGGATTAAAATATAATTTTTTTCAATACAAAGTTGTATATTTGAGGATTTTTAATGTCAAAATTTTCAAAAATTGGAATTGCAGAGATTTCTATGTGCTATTTTCTTAGTTGCATAAATGTGCAACTTTATCCCCATTTAGTTGACTCCTTTTTTCTGAGATTCCAATGGTTGAGGGTCAAATTATTTGCTTGGATGAAAATTTGTCTCTTAGGTAGATTTCCAACTCAACATGACTACTTTACTATTTTTTAATGGCCATATTCTCATTTGGTGTTTCAATTACCAGACTATACACCAACATTCATGTTTGTAAAAATTCAAAATCAAAATGGAATTTTTGCTCCCATAACATTTTGAGATTGTGTACAACATGTGAGAGTCAATTCTTTTTTTTTCAGCATATCTAAAGAGAGTATAATAGATGTTGAAGCAAAAGTGGCACAAGTGCCAAGTAACATAGCTGCTTGTACTCAGCAAGATGTTGAGCTTCTAGCCTCTCAAATATGGATTGTTTCACAGTCTTCACCACAGTTGCCTTTACAAATTGAAGATGCAAGCAGGCCTGAAAAAGCTGAGGTAAAATCAACAAAATATACAGAATTGTATTTTCTATATTCCTCAGTTGCAATCGGTATTAAAATGCATCATCAAGATCTTAGTTCTGCTCAGAAACAAATTCCAAAAAATTGTTTTTCACTCCAAGGTTTTTTTTTTTGTTTTTGGGCCATTATAACCAGAAATTCTTATCAACTTTTCTCTGAAGTTGATAGTTTTGGAGACATGTTATTTAATATTTGATAAAGTGTAAAATGCTGTTTTTGAAACTGAAAAACAATATGCTAAAACGAAAATTTTAATGTTGCTAAAGATCCTAAATATTCCTCAAACATCCATTAATTAAATCCTCAATCGTTTTACAGGGTAATGTTGTATGTTAATCACGTGTGTGTACAATGTACAGTAATGTACAAAAGTATACAGACAAATATGAATATTTACCTAAATACCTTTAGAAAACTAATTCATACTTCATTGCTCCATAAACAAATGCGTTATTAGTAGAAAAACTAAATATCCTTGGTTTTACATTATCTGCAATGAACACAATACAAGTCTGAATATAAGCACTTTTTCATCAGGGACAAAAATATGTAGACAAATTCTTTTCAACATTAGTTTTAGTACAGTTTGTGTTCGTCAAGTATTGTGGAATAAATTGAGTGATTTTAAGACCAAGCACACTTTTGCGAAGAAATTCTTTCTGGATGAAAAAATACCAGTTCTCAAATGGCCTTCATAGTCTCCCGATACAATGGTTATGCTACAAAATATTAACACAAACATGGTTGGTTTTCTATAATTCAATGAACTTTGCTTCTTTTTTCTATAATTGTTTTGCTTTGTCTATATATTTTTGTCCTTCATAGTTCCAGTTTTTTCAATTAATTTTTTATTGAAAGGAGTCTAATGAATTTATATTTATTTATATATTATATATATATATATATATATATATATATAGGTGAAAAATTAAAGCTTCCGCCTTTTGTTGGATACTTCGACAAAATTTAAGCAAAGAGGACTCTTTATACTTTTTTTAATTCTCTCTAGCTTTCAATGGACTTTGCCATCATCATCAGGAGCTGCAATTACAATGATAACAGTAGGAACAAAAGTGTAAAATGAATTTAAATTGAATCAACTTACAGTAGTATGTGAGGATGTTGCTAATTGTTGTTTTCGTATAGGATGAGGGAAACGTCCAGTAACATGGTGAGAGCTGGATACATGGTACAATGGTTAAAATTATATAAAATATGACAAGACAAATTAAAGACAGATTAAAAATTATTTAGAAAACATTAGAGCATTCGTCGTGAAGCCACTTGATGATTGCACGTAATGCTCTAATGTTTTCTAAATAATTTTTAATCTGTCTTTAACTTGTCTTGTCATATTTTATATAATTTTGACCATTGTACCATCTATCCAGCTCTCACCATGTTACTGGACGTTTCCCTCATCCTATACGTAAACAACAATTAGCAACATCCTCACATACTACTATAAGTTGAGTCAATTTAAATTCATTTTACACTTTTGTTGCTACTGTTATCATTGTAATTGCAGCTCCTGATGATGATGGCAAAGTCCATTGAAAGCTAGAGAGAATTAAAAAAAGTATAAAGAGTCCTCTTTGCTTAAATTTTGTCGATGTACCCAACAAAAGGCGGAAGCTTTACTTTTTCACCTATATATATATATATATATATATATATATATATATATATATATATATTAGCGCAATATTAATTTATCTATATACTTTTGTCCATTGTATATTCTGCAATTGTTACAAAAAAATTTTCTAACAATTTTTGACGCAATTTTGGGCCTGGCAACATTCGTTAGAAAGATACATCCTGGAATATTAAGGTCTAACTGATCACTTAGATAATTGTCTCTTCTATGACAAATACCGCGTTCACTTTTTATATTTTCAGGATGACGGTGACAGCCTTAACATCCGTGTCAACCAAGACACCAGACTAGACAACAGAATCCTTGACCTCCGCACACCAACAAATCAAGCAATATACAGACTCGAAGCGGGCGTCTGCCGTCTTTTCAGAGATTCCTTAACCAAGAAGGGCTTCGTAGAGATTCACACCCCGAAAATTATTTCCGCGGCTTCTGAGGGTGGCGCCAACGTTTTCACCGTTAGCTACTTCAAAGGTAAATCTAGATTTCGCCAACAGGTTTGTGAATCAGCCAGAGAACGAGTCTTCTTCCAAATCGCTGATGTACCAGGAGAAATTACGGCAATGTTATTTGTGCTGGATCGTTATTTTCAGGATCTGCTTACTTGGCCCAAAGTCCCCAACTCTACAAACAGATGGCGATAGCTGCAGATTTTGAGAAGGTCTTCACCGTCGGCGCTGTGTTCAGGGCAGAAGATTCCAACACGCACAGGCATTTAACTGAATTCACAGGATTGGACTTGGAAATGGCTTTCCAGTATCACTATCATGAAGTAATGATGACGATTGGCAATTTGTTCACGGAGATTTTCAAAGGATTGCGTGACCAGTAAGTGCCTAGGCAAAATCTACAGGATTTGGGACTTTACACGACGTATATTTCTTGCAAATTTTTTAGTCTCAAGATAATCAAGTTGGAAAATCTGCAAAATTACAGCCTCCAGTTGGGAATTTAATCATTTTCTGTATGTTGGAACGCTTCAACATTATTAATTTCGCAAATACGCAAAAAAAAAGATTACTGCGTACAAAAATAAAGAAAATTCGAACGAGAAATTGCTCCGTCAACACGAAAACTCACAATGACACATTCGAATGCGGTTACGCTTCTTATACGATAACTTATGCGACGTTGTCAGTTGTTGCTGCTTCAGAGAAGTACGATTAGTTGTTTTATTGCATTTTTGCTAAAAATAACCTATTAACAAATAATTTTTTTCAATGCACTATAGGAGATATACAGGGTGTTTCAGTTTATTGTTGCTTCACTTTAAGATTCGATAGAACTTTTAAAATTAATGCATAAAGTCTATATAAACATGGGTCGAAAAATGCGTGGCTTCCGAAATACAGGGTGTTTAAATTTACTTTCTAAAATAGTTTTTTTTAAATATTTCGAACAATATTTGATGTATAACAGTGAAAATTGGTATACAAGGGTTTTTTGATACGACAAAACGAACCATGGGCATAGTTTTACTGTAGCCGCTAGAGGGCGCTCTCTACTGTACCTGTAGTGTATTAAAATGACCGAAAAATTTTTCTTAGTGTAATTTTTTGCTTTTTGAATAAAAAAACTGATTCTTCGCACTTTTCAACATAAAAAAGCTCTCTTGTGAATTTTCGTTATAGTTTGCCGTTTTTGAGATATTTCGATTTTTCAGGTTCGATGCATTTTTAATTATTTATGATAAAATAACGTTAAAAAGTCAGTATCTCGATAATTTTTAGAAGTAGGCTGTGCCTGCAAATATTTTTGAAATTGAAAGCAGAATAAGGTTAAACGTCAATTAGTTGACAGTTAGTTTTGTTGTCTGTTGAAACCTGAAACGCTTTTTTGCAATTGTGAATGCACGAAATTTAGTTTTTACCTGTTTTTTTTTTGTAAGTTTTATAAAAATGACATTTTTATTCTCCAATCAAGAGTTACCTTTGTCTCTTATTAGTAGATGCTGAATGTCAAGTATACTTATCATAACTTTTTTGTGCTACCCTGTATACAACAACTGACCGAAAAATTCTATTTTCTCGTATTTCCACAACAAAAAAGGTTCACTTGTTAGAATGTCTAAAGCTAATAGTTTTCGAGATATTTGATATTGAAAGTTCCAATGCATTATTTGTCCCATGATGAAAATACATTTTATAACATAATAATCAAGTTGATTTGCTATTCTAATGTTTGTCATAATACCGCTTCAAGCTTCATTTTAAGTTGAAAATAAGTTGTTAAACATCATGGAGTATACGTTTGATGAATATTCCGATATGCATTTAATGTTGCGATTGGCAAAATGTAATGTTTTAAAAACAAATATCTCGAAAACTATTAGCTTTAGCGACTACTAACAAGTAAACCTTTTTTATTGTGGAAATACGAGAAAATAAGTTTTTGGGTCAGTTGTTGTATACAGGGTAGCACAAAAAAGTTATGATAAGTTATTTACTGAAAGTGGCGCCCTCTAGAAGTTTAGCCATAAAAAATAACGGATTCTTGATTCTCATACTAGAAAACCTCCCTATACCAAGTTTTATGAGAAAATATGATATACTGCTCAAGCAATAAGGAAAAATAAAAAATAAACTTTTAACTTTCACACCCTGTATCTCGCAAACTATCAACTTTTGGACTAAGGTATGTTTAGGTAAATTCACATATTTTGGTATGTAGTATCTCCAGTTTCGAGATTTCCCAACCGTTCACACACACCCTGTAGATAGAAGACATTTTGGGAGACCCAATATCCTCCATTTTGAAGGACATGCAACAAGGCAAATTTAATGATGTCTGCAAAAACTCAAATTTAAATAGATAGGTCTTAATTTTTTAGTAGTCGGTGATTTATGTGCTCCATGCGACAGGACCGTACTTGAAATTCCTTGTCCGATGAACAATCAGTGTTTTTTTTCATATTCAATAAAAATACCCGATACATAGAAATCAGTTTTTCGTTTTCAAAGTTATTTCATGTTTACATACCGACATAAAACATGGCGCACCCTGTATTGCTGTATCGTATATATTTGTCAACCTTCAGGTGTCAACATGAAATCGCGCTTGTAAACCAGCAGTACCCGGCCGAACCATTTGAATTCCTAGAACCGCCGTTAGTACTCACGTTCGACGCCGGTCGTAAGATGCTTGCAGAAGCTGGAGTAGACGTTGCGGAAGAAGAAGATTTGAGTACGCCCAATGAAAAACTTCTAGGTGAGATTCGGTACAACAATGATCAGTATCGGGTATTTCATTAAGTTAAGCCACTTTGTCTTTTGGAGGCAAAATATCCTAGCTAGAATCGTCGGCATCCGGCGGTCACGTAGTGACTGGGTCTTCAGTTTGATTATTATATACACGGTCCGTCAGAAAGAACGCATGTTTTTAGAATGGGTACTACATCGAGTAGGCTGGTCCCGTGTCGGTGGGATAGTGGGAGAAGTGCCGTTTCAGTTGGCAAGATGGTTTGGAACGTTGAGCATCGTGTGTTCACTTTCGTTCGAACGCAACGGGAGTTTCATGTTCCACGTCGTGGGACAGTACCAGACCGTAACACCATTTTGAGATGGGTGGAAGCGTTCAAAACAACAGGTAATGTGATGAAGAAAAAACCGCCAGGACGAAACCGTACTGTTAGAACCCCAGAAAACGTAGACAGAGTGAGAGTTGACACGCTGCAAAGCCCGAATCGTTTCATCCATTTGTGCCAGTTCCCTAGGGATCCACGCGTCCTCTGTACGTCGCATCTTGAAGAAGGATTTAGTGTTTCATCCTTACAAAATCCAAGTTTGTCAACAACTGTTGCCAGGGGATTATGCACAACGTGTTAATTTTGCACAGCTCATGATTGAACAGTTGGATAACAATGACATGACGTTGTTTATGAGGCTGAAGCACATTTTCATTTACATGGATACGTCAATAAACAAAATTGTCGATATTGGTCTCCAGTGAGCCCCAACAGTTGCATGAGCACCGCCTGCATACCCCGAAAGTTACAGTTGGGTGTGCAATAGTCCCAACGATGATTATTGACCCTCATTTTTTTGAGGATGATGGGGAAACAACTACTGAGAACTCAGAATGTTACATCCGCAAGCTGAACTTCGACGTCGACGATGGAACTTCTTCGGCAAAACTTCCCAGGACGTCTCGTTTCACGTCATGGCGATATTCCATGGCCCCCTCGCTATCCAGACCTGTCAACGTGTGATTGTTTTATGGGACTACCTGAAATCAAAAGTTTACCAAAGCAAGCCTCGGATCCTCGTCGATTTGAAGGAGGAAATAAGAAGAGAAGTAATAATAAAATTCCTGCACGGATGCTAACCGACGTAATGGGCTCATTTCGGGCGAGGCTTGATTCCTGCATTTCGCCTTAAGTGCGCCATATGGCCGACATAGTTTTAAGAACGTGAATTTTGTTTTACTCAAAAAAAATGGCATGTATTTCTGAGTATTTTGATATAATAAAATATTTTTTCCCGTACTTATTTTGACTTGCGTTCTTTATGACGGACCCTGTATTATGCCACAAATTTTGTCTAAACTTTCAGGTGCAATTTTTGATATTTGTTTCATAGAAAAAAGTAATGATGCTTAGGATCCTTTTAGCATCAAAATACAGCAGACGCTCGATAATGTAAACTAATTTAATCCAAGTGTAGTTAACATTATCGAAATGTTTACATTAGCGAACGTGATTTATATAATATTTGATTTATTAAAAGAAACGTTTAATACATACTATTTATAACAAAATAAACAAATATTCTAACAGCGATAAGTATTTTTTTAATTAGAAGAAAAATAATTAACAATTTTTGTCTGCGTAAATTTGCGCTTAGCATTGTCTTCCAATGCCTGCGCCCGTAATTTACGAAGAACTAATCATTCTCATCATCCTCACTGTCCATATCCTCCTCCTTATCAGCATCATTCGTCTGCTTATCTTCGTTCCATAAATTAATATCAGCAGGAGTACAAACAATGTTGGGATTCACTGTTTTCAATAAATCAACAACATCCAATGACACACTAATAACATTATCATTATTGGATCGCAAACGTTCTCTAATTACGCTTAAGGGGACATCGTCTTCTTCATCATCTTCATTATTGGTACAAAAGAGGTTGTTCCAACATTTTTGAATAGTTTGCTGGTTAAGTTCATTCCAGGCCATAAGTAAATCTAAAACAGCTTCTCGTAATGTTACTTTTTTTAAAGCCTCATATAATTTTTCAGGATTCTTTGATAAGACAGACGAAAGTAGAAACTTCCTATAGTATAGTTTGGTGAGTCTTATTATATTCTGGTCCATCGGTTGAATTAACGGTGTTACTTTGGGCGGCATGTACATGACGAAAATTGACCCATCCCTGCTCCTCAGTTGTTGCTCGGGAGGATGACTTGGTGCATTATCCAATAGTAACAACGCTTTTATTGGAAGCTTCTGTTGTTTTCGGAAACCTTTTACCTGCAAATTGAAAACACATCTTCAAATTATGAATAGAGCATTTGTGATGATTGATTGTCATACCTGAGGGACAAAGCACCTGTGGAACCATTTCAGGAATATACTGCTAGTCATCCAAGCGGTTTTTGAACAGTCATAATCAACAGGGATATTAACATTTTTAAATGAGCGCGGATCTTTTGCTTTCCCAATTACCAGTGGTTTTACTTTGTGTGAACCATTAGCATTAGTGCAGGCTAGAAACGTTATTCGTTGTTTCTCCGGCTTTCTTCCCGGGGCAGATTTTTCAAATGATGCAGCATAGGTTTTCTCTGTTAACATTTTCCAATAAAGACCACTTTCATCTGCGTTGTAAATTTGTTCCATTCTTAAATCTAGCTCGGTAATTGTTTTCATCAATTTTTCTTTGAATGGTTGCACTAATTGTGCTTGTGCTGATAATTTTTCACCAGATATAGACAGCAGTCGAATTCCATATCTTGTTTTGAATCGTAGCCAGCCATCACTAGCTACGAAATTTTCAGTTTTTTATTTAACAGTCTCGCTCTCTGTTTAAGTACTTCGCCACTAACTGGGACATGATTTTCCCGTTGTTTTAAAAACCACTTATACAGGGAATTTTCCATTTTAGGTGCCTTCGCATTTTTTTAAGTTATTCTTTTTCCCGGACCTCCAAATGTATTGCACGTTCTTTGTAAAATTTGAGTTTTCATACGCTTAATTTTACAGATTGTTGCTTTCGATACTCCATATATTTTTGCTAACTGTGTCACTCCCGCACCTAGTGCAACTTCGTCTATGATTTTCACTTTCTCACTCAACTTTAAACACTTTCTTTTATAGGATGTGGATGCCATAGTCGTAAAATATATTAACGCGTGCAATGTATTCACTTAAGTTCAAAAATGAAATACATACGTACGTATAAACGTATCCTAAACGATCATACGACTGACCGAGTTTGTCGTGTTTTAGAGGTGAATTCCCTACACTCTACATCATAAATCGGGGACTCCCCGACGCCCGACATAAATCATCGAGGCTTCAGCATGTTACCGTCGCGCTGTTTCCGTACGCCGAGAGTTGTTTACGTTATCGAGCGTACACATTGTTTACGTTATCGCGCGTTCCGTTTGATCCTATAGAACGAAGTTTGTGTTTACGTTATCGAGCGTCTGCTGTAATGCTATTTCGTGGAATACACCTTTAAATATCAAAGCCTAGGATTCATTTACTATAATTTCCGAGACAGGTCGCCTGGTGAAAGCCAAATACAGCACCGATTTCTACATCCTGGACAAATTTCCGTTGGCCGTTAGGCCGTTTTACACGATGCCTGATCCTGAAAACCCAAAAGCCTCGAACTCGTACGATATGTTCATGAGAGGCGAAGAAATACTGAGCGGGGCTCAGAGAATACACGACCCGGAGTTTTTGACTGAAAGAGCCAAACATCATGGAATAGGTCAGTATACTTGCCGTGAATCGTTGATTAACCTATTTCGGATTACTTTATGCTGGACAAAGTACATTAAACCAATTTTGAGGCAACATACAGCGTCGGGAAAATTAATAAGTTTTTACACGATTGCGGGGATTCTTCCAAATGACCTTGACGAACAAAAAGCGTCCTAGCAAAGAGTTACCTGTTTCAGAACTTGATCTGGCACGAACTCTGGCAGCTGCTGGGAAAAAACTAGACTGTTTACTCAGGGCTAAGAAGTACATACTTATATTGCATTTCTTATTTCAGATACCAGCAAAATTGCGGCATACATCGACGCGTTCAAATATGGCTGCCCGCCTCACGCTGGAGGTGGAATCGGCTTGGAAAGAGTGGTTATGCTGTATCTAGGCCTGGACAACATAAGGAAGACATCTATGTTCCCTAGGGACCCCAAGAGAGTGACACCTTAACAGATTTTGTGGATTTTATATTAACTTTGGATTATATCATTGATTTTGTCTGCTTTAACAATTGTTATTTTGTCTGATCATTGTTTGAATGACAACAAATAAATTTTATTTCTAAAAGATAGGCTGTTATTTATCGTAAGAGATGAGGGATGGTTATATCACATTCAAAATCGACGTCTAAAATTACACTGGACAACAAATTTTAGTTTTTAAACTGTATCTTGTGGGAAAAGTGCACTTCTTTGTTAATTTTGGGGCGCTGAATCCAAAAATGACAATGAAATAAAAAAATTAGTTGCGGTTTAGAAAAAAACTTTTTATTTTCAAGGATATATTAAAAAAAGTAACAAGATTCATATACTTATAAGAATCACTATATGCGCTGTCTTTTTGCTGTCCTTTTATGGATCGTTTCTGGAGCATCTCTACCAAGAGTCCAACAGTAGTCTGCAAGCATGGAAGGATTCCACTTTCCCTGGTACCTTTTTTCCATTGTTGAAATTAATATCCTGATGAAAACGTTCGCCGTGCTCATCACTTACGGCTCCGCAATTGTCAGGAAAAAAGTCCAGGTGTGAGTGTAGGAAATGTATCTTAAGAGACATATTACAGCCCATCTTTTGATACGATGACAGCATATTTTTGACAAGGGTTTTATAGTTGTCAGCTTTTCTATTTCCCAAGAAATTAGTGACCACCAGACGGAAATCATTCCAAGCAGTTTTTTCAATACCTGTTAAAGTGTTTTCAAACTGTGTATCTTTCAAAATATTTCGAATCTGTGGCCCAACAAAAATACCTTCTTTAACCTTTGCCTCACTTAGTCTTGGAAATTTCTGACGCAGGTATTGAAAAGCTGACCCAACTCTATCTAATGCCTTGACAAAGTTTTTCATTAGGCCCAACTTTATATGCAGTGGTGGTAATAAAATTTTTTCGAATCTACTAATGGCATATGCTGTACATTTTTTTGACCTGGCTCTAGGAATTGACGAACCGGCCAGTTTTGTCTGGTGTAATGAAGTGCCTTTGCCCGACTGTCCCATTCACACAAAAAACAGCAAAACTTTGTGTAGCCTAGCTGCAGCCCAAGTAAAAGTGCAACAACTTTCAAATCGCCACAAATATGCCATTGGTGCTCATCGTATTTTATGCATGTCAATAGGTACTTCATATTGTCATATGATTCTTTCATGTGAACTGCATACCCTACAGGAAGAGATGGTAAAATATTTCCAATATGCAATAACACTGCCTTTAAACTCAATGTTGAACTGTCTATAAACAATCTCCATTCTTCTGGGTTATAGTTTATATTTAAAGCCGCCAGTAAGCCGTTAACGTTACTGCAGAAAACCAAGTTATTCTCCATATTGAAAAATGGTTCTAAGTCTTTGTGGCGTTTACGAAAAACACATACCGAAACATCGTCTTCTAACAAGTTCCACTGCTGCAGTCTTGATTGAAGTAACTCTGCCTTACATTTTCGAAGTTCTAAATCTCTTACAAGATCATTTTATTCTGAATGTGTTATTTTGTGCGGTTGGTGGTATGACGTGCTCGGTATAAAATCAGGATCTCTTGACGTTGATGGCATATCTTCTTCCTGACGAATCACTCGATCGCCATGATCCGATTTGTTTTCTGATTCGCAAGTGTAGGATTCTGGTTGTTTTGGAATAGGATTTTCGTCACTGTGAGGCACAGGTCTCATCGCAGATGGTATGTTTGTGTAGTTAATAACCGATTTTTTTTTCTTGGACATACCTGTGGCTTGTCCAACACAAGGTACCATGCAAAAGTAACAATCATTAATATGATTTGTAGGCTCTCTCCAAACCATTGGGACAGCAAAACGCATAAACCGTTTTTTGCTATTTAACCAGCTCCTCAGACTTGAAGCACAATTACAGCAGATGTGGGGTGCCCACTGTTTGTCTTGATCACCTAAATTACAACCGAAATAAAGCTGATATGCCTTTGTTATTAGTGGAGTAATAGGCCGTCTCTGAGACGCAAAAGTCACATCACCACACACGTAACAAAACTGATCTGGATTGTTTACATACTTTCGAGACATCTTGCATGAACGCTGTCAGCCAACTGAGGAAAAAATGGCTAATATAAAACAATATAATGTACACGTATGTATAACGTAACACAATCATGCCGATTACAACATCTTTCCTTGCCGAATATAAAAATGTAACACGTGCATTCTTGTGAATTACAGTATATTAACACTGTCACAAGAGGAACACATATATTTACCGTATCTCTAAAACTTGAACTAATATTGAAAAAATAAGTTTCATTCCGGTTTTAGCACATTAAAAATAGTAATATTTTGTTGATTTTATTTAGGATATTTTTTGGCTGTTGATCAGTGTTACCTGTCAAGAATTCGACAAAAAAAAGGCATATCTAAGACCAAATCTCGTTAATTGGATGCACAAAACTGATGTCATTTTTTCGCTGAAATTGACAGAAGGCCCGAAGAATATTCTAAGTTTTGTTCCCATGCTACAACAGAAAACTGAAATGGAAGGAGCCTTAAAGGCATTATTAAGGAATTGTTCGAAAAATCATTTAGTAATAATACCAGCGTGGCTGAAACGCTAGTAAAAAATTGGCGTCGAGTAGGTTGTATCAATATCTTCCACACTATAAAAGCTAGTTTCAATTAAATAGCCTTTAAGTGATTCTTAAGTCTTTAGACCATGTGGAATTTGTCTAAATGGTGTGTGGAATTGCTGGTGTTGGAAGAGTATTAATATATACTAAGTGACATATAAATCCGAACACCCAGTTTAAATGGTTTTATTTTAATAAAATTTTGTATAAGTACTTAATGAAGCATAATAAGTAAATGATGAATATTTCAAAATGATTGCACTGCCCTTTGACCTTTAATAATGTGTGGATGCACCCTGATGGTGGTATCTCATTCCAGGCAACCACCAACTCCTCTCGAAGTGCTTCTAGAGTCTGAGGAGGACGTTGCAAATTGAGCAATCTCCTACTCATCATATCCCACACGTGCTCAATTGGGGATAAGTCGGGAGATCTTGGTGGCCATGGTAACAATGTGACATCATTATGTTGAAAGAAGTCTATTGTGACTCTTGCAACATGTGGTCGGACATTATCTTGTTGGAAAGTTGGATCTGCCAGGGTTTCAAGATAGGTTAAAAGATGGGGTTCTAGAACTTCGTGGATATAACGCTGCGCGTTCATGTTACCTCTGATGAAGATTAAAGGTGACCTGGAACCATAAGCTATAGCACCCCAAACCATAACTCCAACAGTGTGATGAACATGTCCTTCAACAAAAAACTGTGGATTCCTCCTTTCACCACGTCGCCTTCTAACCCTGGCACGATCATCGTACATGCCTAAACAAAATCGAGACTCGTCACTAAAGACAATACTGTTCCATTCCTGATCCCAGAGTGACCGTTGTCTGCACCACTCAAGGCGATTACGTCGGTGTTCTCGAGTTAAAGGGAGGACCCAGTGTGGCCGGTATGAAAACCAGCCAAAACTTCTCATTCGTCGGTAAACACTTCGCATGCCAATAGGTCTTCCGTGTTCTGCAAACCATTCATTTGCAATGGACCTGGTAGTGGAGAAACGGTCCCTTAAGGCCAATAATCTTAGGCGGCGATCTTCATGGCCTGTTGTTCTACGGCGGCGTCCAGTGCCCCTTGCTCTTTGCGTACGGCCTTCTCGAAGACATGCCTGACAACACCTAACCACAGTGTCTACACTTCTTTGCACTCTAACTGCAATTGCCCGAAAAGAAAGTCCAGCTTCCCGAAGTCCCACTATACGGCCCCTATCAAACTCACTAAGTTGACGAAATCGTACAGGTCTCTGTACTCTAGGCATCGTAACCGATCGTAAAGGATGTCAAGAACCAAAATCCGCCAACGTTAGTGAATTAAAAAAAAGCAGTATAAAAACCAGAATGTCCAACTGATAAGGCTGAACATGTTTTCACTTGTTATTTACAGTAAGATAAATACATTCACCAACTTTTATTAAAATAAAACCATTTAAACTGGGTGTTCGGATTTATATGTCACTTAGTATACAAATGTAAAAAAAATGCGAGTCAACCTGCTCGACGCCATTTTTAAAGTAGGTAGTTTCAAGCACATGCCGCTAAGCATGTGTTCCGTTTAGTGGCCAGACTTAATACAGAGAACTGTCTCAAGATACAAATCGTTTATTAGAACTTGCTGCTACACTAGTTCCATCATAACACAGACACGTATTCCGGCATACATCAGAATATCTCAAGACTAGATTTGGGTATACTACTCTTCTAACGAAAAACAATTTTAAAAAACATAAATGTATATACACGCTGACATGTTCCACATGACTCAAGCATCAACAAAACATTCACAAGTTTACATTTAAACATTCAATGTACAAACGACAACTTTAAAGCATTTCTTCATCTACAACATTATGTTTCTTCCTCCAAGATTTGTGTCTCTTCTTTTTCCGTTTCTCCAAATCCTCCAGGTATTTTTCCATGTTCTCGTAATCTGCGGGCTTCCGCGCCATATTCTCAGGAGGTACATCTATATTTAGTTGCTCAGGTAACATGTACGATGCTAGCCACCCTACTAGCGGTGTATATCCGAAAAAATAGTGTGACTCTTTGTGATAAAATACAACTCCGTCGTAAGGCAATTTTTGGTCTTTCACTATAGTTTGTTCCGACATTATTTCCTGCATCATGGATTTCTCCGCGGGAAAGTGGTGCAACAAAATGAACTGGATATGTCCATGCTGGGCCAGATCTGGCATTTCATCGAACTTTGACTTTAGCCAAAAAAATCTGAACTGTGCCTCGCTGTCTAACATGGACAATGAGTTCCAGAATAAACAGTCTAAAATGAACATCACATTTGTAGCTTTGTTATAAATACAGTCTAGGACTGTCGTACCATGCATTCTTTTATGTCCACCTGGAAATCCTGACTTGAGGTTGAAATAATAACGTCCTTTAGTGTTATAGCAATTTGTATGACCTCTAGTCGCAATTAATAGGACTCTGAGGCCTTCTGGCGCAAACTTTGTCAACCAATTTTCTTCCAGGTCATC